GGGTTAAAAATTGCTTAAACGACAGGGATAAAATTGCACCTAAAGATTGAGGAGTAAAATTGCACCACCTTTGTTAAATGTATATATGTTAAAAAAATTGATTAGGTTGTTAATTTTTTTAAGTAAAAATTGCTTTAATTTTGTCTAAATTTGTTAAATATTTAAATGTTAAACAAACTACCAAAAGATAAATTAAAGATTTAGTGCGATAAAACTTAAATTGACAAATAATATATATCGTAATATATTTTGTGAATATAATTTATCGCTCTCATCTTTTAAAAGGATACGTACAAGAGAGTCTCATGAAACCGAAAAACGTGTTGACATTTTATAAAAAATATTTAGATAAAGAGAAGATCTAAATTAAATCTATAAATCATCCGAATCAAATTTAGATATCTTAGAATTATTTTGTTTCAGATGGAAACCTGATAAATCAAGATTCATAGAGGCTTATAAATAAGTTCAGCGATCTTCATATAGAAAAATTAGTCAACAAGAAGTCAAAAATTCTCTTTTACAGTTGTCCGATGGAGAAAGAATTGATTCGATTGTTTGGAGCAGTGAAGAAGGCGGCAGACGCAGCGGCGACTTCAACCGCCGGCGAGCTCGAAGAATGTCAATGCCTTGATGCGTTCAAGCTGCTCAAGAAATTTCCAGTCAATTATGAAATTCTGGTGGCAACCCAATTGGGTAAACATCTAAGAGTTCTAACAAAGCATCCCAGAAGGAAGATCCAGGCTTTCGCTATGGGCATAGTAGAGATATGGAAAGCCATAGTCATCAAGGGAATAAGACAAAAGAAGAAAGAAAAAGTTGAGAAAACTCATAGGAATGAGACATCAAACTCCGAAAAAGGAAATATTAAGGTACGAGATTTAGAAAATATTAATTCAACTTTATATTATATAGATTTCAATTTAATTTGATGTTTTCACGAGCAATTTAATTGTGATTTGGGATCAATGAAAAAGAGTTCTTGTCTTCTTGATGATATATCATGGCATGTTTAAAATTTAATTAATCCAGTAGACCAGTAATACCATGTAACCCAAATTGTATGACGATGTCATTTAAAAATAACAAACCATATGTGGTTCATTTGCCATAATATTTATTTTTCAATATGAAAGACAGATGTGATTTTTTCAAATAACATACAGTATCTTCAGTTTATTTTGAGTTTCAGATTAATCTTTGTAGAAAGTGCCAAGATTAAAGTCTTCCTAATAAATATGCTTTCCGAAATTTGATTTTTTTTCCCTCCTTCTTACTGAGATGAGTCCAAGATATATGTGATTTTAATTATATTAGTTTGAGTTAGTTAGGTAATCTTTTTATTTTTAATCATTTATTTAATTGGTGAAATATAATTTGAAAAATTATTTATTACTTATTAAAGTATAAATGGTTCAAATTTAATAATTGTTAGTTACGTATTTATGTCTCATATGTATCTTTCCGAGATTATGTAGCAGATTAAATCTTTAGATAAATTAAAGAATGAATCTAAGCTAACTAATATTAAAACGAACAAATGTTAAGTGATGAACAAAATCTTTTTATATTCATTAATCAAAATTTTATTCGATCCGAAATTTTCTAAAATATTAGAATATTTAACTATGTTTTATGTATAGGATAGTCTTCAATGATCAATGATATCTTTATGTCTATAATTTATTTATTTGTTAATTTAGGGGAAAACATCTAGTCCAATCTTTGCCAAATCAATCCTTATATCCCCTTGTCATGGGAAAAAGGTCATCGAGAAATATTTTAATAAATAATATTTTTTACCAGCATTTTAGTAAATCACATTTAACTTATAATAATAATTTAAATTAAATCTATATATGTTTTAATAAAAGCTTATCGTCGATCCTCATATAATCTTCATATAGTGAAAAGTTAATAAGAAGTTGAAATTCTCTTTCAGGATTCTATGATGGAGAAAGAATTGATCCGATTATATGAAGCAGTGAAGAAGGCGGCCGATGCGGCCACGACCTCAACCGCCGGCGAGGTCGAAGAAAATCGATGCCTTGATGCGTTCAAGCTCCTCAAGAAGTTTCCCGTCAATTATCAAATTTTGGCATCGACACAGGTGGGAAAACATCTAAGAGTTCTTACAAAGCATCCCAAAAAGAAGATCCGGGCTTTCGCTGTGGACTTGTTAGATATATGGAAAGCTAAAATCACGAAGGAAATCAGCAAAAGCAAGGAGGAAAAAGTTTATCAGAAGGTTTCAGAGGCTGAGAACACTAAACGGAATAGGACCTCAAGTTCCCAAAACGGAAAGACTAAGGTACAAGCAGATTCTAACGTCACATTTTCTGCAGAAAATGTTAAAGCTGAGAAGGTTCGGCAGGCTCATGTGATAAGGCTTAAACTTATGCAGGCTGTCGTGGACGTTGCCAAGGCTGAGAAAACTGATAGGAATATTGAGACATCAACCTCAGAAAATATAAAGGAAAAAGATTGCAATGTAGTTACAGGTGAGAAAACCGTTTCTGTTGCAAACATGGCCAAGGATGAGAAGAAGCAAGTTTCTGGAATACTAAATGAGGCACCCTCAAGCCTTGCTGCTCCTTCAAAGAAGGAAACTATGATTAAAACTAACGATGAAAGGCGAGACAAAATAAGGGAAATTCTTCATGAGGCATTCTCTAGAGTTTCAGGGGAGGCTGATGAAGCAATCAAGGATCAAGTTAAAACTTGTGACCCTGTTAGAGTTTCTGTTGCAGTGGAGTCTGTGCTATTTCAGAACTGGGGCCATTTTAATGGGGCTCAGAAGATCAAGTACAGGTCCTTGATGTTTAACCTGAAGGATCCGAAAAACCCAGATTTCCGAAGAAGAGTTCTGCTCGGAGAGTACTCGCCGGAGCGGCTCGTGGACATGAAAACAGCAGAAATGGCCAGTGACAAGAGGAAGAAGGAGAACGAGACGATCAAAAGGAAAGCTTTGTTTGATTGTGAGCGTGGACAGAAACCAAAAGCCACAACCGATCAGTTCAAGTGTGGGAAATGTGGGAAGAGAGAGAGCATCTTTCATCAGATGCAGACTCGGAGTGCTGATGAACCTATGACTACATATGTTACCTGCGTTTCATGCAATCACCATTGGAAGTTCTGTTAGTGTCCTTATTAATTCTATCAAAGTAGTTTGTAAAGTGATCAGTTTGAAGTTGATGACAAAACAATGTGTAGATTTTGATTCTTTTTAATTATTACTTGTAACTGTAATTACTGTTGGATTCTATTATAGGATTGTTATTTCTCGCAATGGTTCGAGAACAATCATTATGATGTGTACGTAAATAGTTTTTCACTTGGTAGAAACCAAATTTGTATAATTTTTTCATGCAAACACATTCGGAAGTTCTGTTAGTTTAGTTGTGAATGCTATCAAAGTAGCTGTATGTAAAATGGCTTTGTTTGTAGCTGACGAATGATGTCTAGATTTTGATTCTTTTAATTATTACTTGTAATCATTGTTAAAAGTTCTATTAGTGTAGTTATTTCTTGCAATGGATCGAGAACTAGTACTTTTCGAATTCAAACTGGTTCTTGTAAATGTGCTATGGTTGTAGAAAAGTTATGTGTGTATTAGCATAAAGGTCTATATATTTAATAATTCCAACGTTATATATACTCTTCCGATCCTTAATATAAGACCCATTTAACTAATTTGATTAGATTAAGGAAGTTAGGTAAGTTACTTAATTATAAAAAAAGTGACACATTTTTCCTAAAATACCATAATCATCTTTCTTAATACGCCATCTCCCTCTTCTACTTGATTATGATTGAGAGAGTATCCATAGGGTAATTTAGAGAAAATTAATAAATATGAGAAATGGGTTTTATATTTAGGACCAAAACCAACTCAAGAATTGGGTCCGGATGAGTATATATACATCTATGTAACTAGTTAAAATAATAGAGGAATTGGAGCTGATGGGCTGTGATCCATGTCTTTAGCAGTATTATTATTGTGGGAGGACTCAGCAGAGTTTGGGATTGGTGTGCAAGAAGGAAAAGCAATAGTGAGGTCAAGACTCAAGTTGGAAGAATGAAAGAAACAGGTAGGGCGATGAAGAGTAAAGCTTTGGTGATGAAGATGAGAATAAGCTTATGGTTATGAGGATCTATCACTAATTGGCTCTTTTATCAAAGAATTGACATTTTTTCCAACCAAAATGCCCCTCTTTGATATTAATATTACTACAATCATTTAAACACTTATTTTGTAGTTTTCACTTGGAGTTTTTGAGGTTGATTTTGTAGCCTTTCTTGAGTTTTGGATTGGTGCTTGTAATCTTATGGAATGAATATATCATCGTAGCAAAAAAAAAAAACACTTATTTTGCTTTGGGTTAAAAATTGCCTAAATGATAGGAATAAAATTGCACCTAAAGATTAGGAATAAAATTGCATCACTAAAGTGATCAAGAATAAAATTGCACTTGAAAAATAAGATTCAGGAGTAAAATTGCACCACCTTTGTTAAACATATATATGTTAAAAAAATTGATTAGGTTGTTAATTTTTTGAAGTAAAAATTGCTTTAATTTTGTCTAAATTTATTAAAATTTTTAAACAGTTAGTTATTTAAATGTTAAACAAACTACCAAAAGATAAATTAAAGATTTAGTGCGATAAAACTTAAATTGATAAATAATATTTATCGTAATATATTTTGTGAATATAATTTATCGCTTATATCTTTTAAAAGGATACGTACAAGAGAGTCTCATGAAACCGAAAAACGTGTTGACATTTTATAAAAAATAGTTAGATAAAGAGAAGATCTAAATTAAATCTATAAATCATCCGAATCAAATTTAGATATCTTAGAATTATTTTGTTTAAGATGGAAACCTGATAAATCAAAATTCATAGAGGCTTATAAATAAGTTCAGCGATCTTCATATAATCTTCATATAGAAAAATTAGTCAACAAGAAGTCAAAAATTCTCTTTTACAGTTGTCCGATGGAGAAAGAATTGATTCGATTGTTTGGAGCAGTGAAGAAGGCGGCAGACGCAGCGGCGACTTCAACCGCCGGCGAGCTCGAAGAATGTCAATGCCTTGATGCGTTCAAGCTGCTCAAGAAATTTCCTGTCAACTATGAAATTCTGGTAGCAACCCAATTGGGTAAACATCTGAGAGTTCTAACAAAGCATCCCAGAAGGAAGATCCAGGCTTTTGCTATGGGCATAGTAGAGATATGGAAAGCCATAGTCATCAAGGGAATAAGACAGAAGAAGAAAGAAAAAGTTGAGAAAACTCATAGGACTGAGACATCAAACTCCGAAAAAGGAAATATTAAGGTACGAGATTTAGAAAATATTAACTTTATATTATATAGATTTCGATTTCATTTTGATATTTTCATCAGCAATTTAATTATGATTTCGGATCAGAGTTCTTGTCTTCTTGATGATATATCATGGCATGTTTAAAATTTAATTAATCCAGTAGACCAGTAATACCATGTAACCTAAATTGCATGACGATGTCATTTAAAAATAAAAAACCACATGTCGTTCATTTGCTATGTATTTAGTTGTCAATATGATAGACAGATTTTTTTTTTTTGGTATAACATATGGTATCTTCAGTTTATTTTAAGCTTGAGACTAATATTTGTAGAAAGCATGAAAGTTAAAATCCTCCTAATTAATGTGCTTCTGAAAATTTGACCTTTTGTTCTCGTCCTTAGGGAGATGAGCCCAAGACATATGTGATTTTAATTATAGGGAGAATTAGAATAAAGGACCTGTAGAAAGAAATATTTATTAAAAAAGACCATAAAAATTAGAATTACTTAAAAGGACCAAAATTTAAAATATTGATTCTAAAATTCCAAATTATCTCTATCCCACCTCCATCCCTCTCCGTGATTTTTTAGTTGTTGCTTTCCTTCCCTACTATTTTATATTGTTGGGTATTGATTTTAAAATAGTGTGATTACATTTTTCGCACAACTTTTTCAAAAAGTTAGAACTTCCCTAAGCTATATATACACAACTTTTTTCTTATTCATACTCAGAATTTGTAATTATTGATAACATTATTATTTCAAGATCTTTAAGTTTTTTTGTCACAAACGATAACATTCAAAACTATTTGTTACTCATAGTCCTAAATCTAATTTGATGGTTTTTCAATTTTGTATAGAATGAGATGTGACAGTTGATTGGAAAAGAAGAATAATTATGGGTAGTATTTTTAAAATTGTATTTTAATTTTTGGTCTTTTAAAATAATTATGATTTTTAAGATCCTCTAAAATAAATATTGCTTTTTCTTGGTCCTTGGTTCTAATTCTCCCTTAATTATATTATTTACAGTTAGTTAGGTAATCTATTTATTTTCAATCATTTATTTAATTTGTGAAATATAATTTAAAAAATTATTTATTACTTATTAAAGTATTTATGATTCAAATTTAATAATTGTTAGTTACGTATTTATGTCTCGTATGTATCTTTCCGAGATTATGTAGCAGATTAAATCTTTAGATAAATTAAAGAATGAATCTAAGCTAACTAATATTAAAACGAACAAATGTTAAGTGATGAACAAAATCTTTTTACATTCATTAGTCAAAATTTTATTCAATCTGAAATTTTCTAAAATATTATAATATTTAACTATGTTTTATGTATAGGATAGTCTTCAATGATCAATGATATCTTTATATCTAAAATTTATTTATTTGTTAATTTAGGGGAAAACATCTAGTCCAATCTTTCCCAAATCAATCCTTATATCCCCTTGTCATGGGAAAAAGGTCAAAGAGAAATATTTTAAAAAATAATATTTTTGACCAGCATTTTAGTAAATCATATTTAACTTATAATAATAATTTAAATTAAATCTATAAATGTTTTAATAAAAGCTTATCGTCGATCCTCATATAATCTTCATATATCGAAAAGTTAATAAGAAGTTGAAATTCTCTTTCAGGATTCTATGATGGAGAAAGAATTGATCCGATTATATGAAGCAGTGAAGAAGGCGGCCGATGCGGCCACGACCTCAACCGCCGGCGAGGTCGAAGAAAATCGATGCCTTGATGCGTTCAAGCTCCTCAAGAAGTTTCCCGTCAATTATCAAATTTTGGCATCGACACAGGTGGGAAAACATCTAAGAGTTCTTACAAAGCATCCCAAAAAGAAGATCCGGGTTTTCGCTATGGACTTGGTAGATATATGGAAAGCTAAAATCACGAAGGAAATCAGCAAAAGCAAGGAGGAAAAAGTTTATCAGAAGGTTTCAGAGGCTGAGAAAACTAAACGGAATAGGACCTCAAGTTCCCAAAACGGAAAGACTAAGGTACAAGCAGATTCTAACGTCACATTTTCTGCAGAAAATGTTAAAGCTGAGAAGGTTCGGCAGGCTCATGTGATAAGGCTTAAACTTATGCAGGCTGTCGTGGACGTTGCCAAGGCTGAGAAAACTGATAGGAATATTGAGACATCAACCTCAGAAAATGTAAAGGAAAAAGATTGCAATGTAGTTACAGGTGAGAAAACCGTTTCTGTTGCAAACATGGCCAAGGATGAGAAGAAGCAAGTTTCTGGAATACTAAATGAGGCACCCTCAAGCCTTGCTGCTCCTTCAAAGAAGGAAACTATGATTAAAACTAACGATGAAAGGCGAGACAAAATAAGGGAAATTCTTCATGAGGCATTCCCTAGAGTTTCAGGGGAGGCTGATGAAGCAATCAAGGATCAAGTTAAAACTTGTGACCCTGTTAGAGTTTCTGTTGCAGTGGAGTCTGTGCTATTTCAGAACTGGGGCCATTTTAATGGGGCTCAGAAGATCAAGTACAGGTCCTTGATGTTTAACCTGAAGGATCCGAAAAACCCAGATTTCCGAAGAAGAGTTCTGCTCGGAGAGTACTCGCCGGAGCGGCTCGTGGACATGAAAACAGCAGAAATGGCCAGTGACAAGAGGAAGAAGGAGAACGAGACGATCAAAAGGAAAGCTTTGTTTGATTGTGAGCGTGGACAGAAACCAAAAGCCACAACTGATCAGTTCAAGTGTGGGAAATGTGGGAAGAGAGAGAGCATCTTTCATCAGATGCAGACTCGGAGTGCTGATGAACCTATGACTACATATGTTACCTGCGTTTCATGCAATCACCATTGGAAGTTCTGTTAGTGTCCTTATTAATTCTATCAAAGTAGTTGTAAAGTGATCAGTTTGAAGTTGATGACAAAACAATGTGTAGATTTTGATTCTTTTTAATTATTACTTGTAACTGTAATTACTGTTGGATTCTATTATAGGATTGTTATTTCTCGCAATGGTTCGAGAACAATCATTATGATGTGTACGTAAATAGTTTTTCACTTGGTAGAAACCAAATTTGTATAATTTTTTCATGCAAACACAATCGGAAGTTCCGTTAGTTTAGTTGTGAATTCTATCAAAGTGGTTGTATGTAAATGGATTTGTTTGTAGCTAACGAATGATTTTTAGATTTTGATTCTTTTAATTATTACTTGTAATTACTGTTAAGTTATATTAGTGTAGTTATTTCTTGCAATGGATCGAGAACTAGTACTTTTCGAATTCAAACTGGTTCTTGTAAATGTGTTATGGTTGTAGAAACGTTATGTGTATTAGCATAAAGGTCTATATATTTAATAATTCCAACGTTATATATACTCTTCCGATCTTTAATATAAGACCCATTTAACTAATTTGATTAGATTAAGGAAGTTAGGTAAGTTAATTAATTATAAAAAAAGTGACACATTTTTCCTAAAATACCATAATCATCTTTCTTAATACGCCATCTCCCTCTTCTACTTGATTATGGTTGAGAGAGTATCCATAAGGGTAATTTAGAGAAAATTAATAAATATGAGAAATGAGTCTTATATTTAGGACCAAAACCAACTCAAGAATTGGGTCCGGAGGAGTATATATACATCTATGTAACTAGTTAAAATAATAGAGGAATTGGAGCTGATTGGCCGTGATCCATGTCTTTAGCAGTATTATTATTGTGGGAGGACTCAGCAGAGTTTGGGATTGGTGTGCAAGAAGGAAAGCAATAGTGAGGTCAAGACTCAAGTTGGAAGAATGAAAGAAACAGGTAGGGCGATGAAGAGTAAAGCTTTGGTGATGAAGATGAGAATAAGCTTATGGTTATGAGGATCTATCACTAATTGGCTCTTTTATCAAAGAATTGACATTTTTTCCAACCAAAATGCCCCTCTTTGATATTAATATTACTACAATCATTTAAACACTTATTTTGTAGTTTTCACTTGGAGTTTTTGAGGTTGATTTTGTAGCCTTTCTTGAGTTTTGGATTGGTACTTGTAATCTTATGGAATGAATATATTAGTGTAGCCAGAAAAAAAACACTTATTTTGATTTGGGTTAAAAATTGCCTAAATGATAGGAATAAAATTGCACCTAAAGCTTAGGAATAAAATTGCATCACTAAAGTTATCAAGAATAAAATTGCACTTGAGAAATAAGATTCAGGAGTAAAATTGCACCACCTTTGTTAAACATATATATGTTAAAAAAATTGATTAGGTTGTTAATTTTTTGAAGTAAAAATTGCTTTAATTTTGTCTAAATTTATTAAAATTTTTAAACAGTTAGTTATTTAAATGTTAAACAAACTACCAAAAGATAAATTAAAGATTTAGTGCGATAAAACTTAAATTGATAAATAATATTTATCGTAATATATTTTGTGAATATAATTTATCGCTTATATCTTTTAAAAGGATACGTACAAGAGAGTCTCATGAAACCGAAAAACGTGTTGACATTTTATAAAAAATAGTTAGATAAAGAGAAGATCTAAATTAAATCTATAAATCATCCGAATCAAATTTAGATATCTTAGAATTATTTTGTTTCAGATAGAAACCTGATAAATCAAAATTCATAGAGGCTTATAAATAAGTTCAGCGATCTTCATATAATCTTCATATAGAAAAATCAGTCAATAAGAAGTCAAAAATTCTCTTTTACAGTTGTCCGATGGAGAAAGAATTGATTCGATTGTTTGGAGCAGTGAAGAAGGCGGCAGACGCAGCGGCGACTTCAACCGCCGGCGAGCTCGAAGAATGTCAATGCCTTGATGCGTTCAAGCTGCTCAAGAAATTTCCTGTCAACTATGAAATTCTGGTAGCAACCCAATTGGGTAAACATCTGAGAGTTCTAACAAAGCATCCCAGAAGGAAGATCCAGGCTTTTGCTATGGGCATAGTAGAGATATGGAAAGCCATAGTCATCAAGGGAATAAGACAGAAGAAGAAAGAAAAAGTTGAGAAAACTCATAGGACTGAGACATCAAACTCCGAAAAAGGAAATATTAAGGTACGAGATTTAGAAAATATTAACTTTATATTATATAGATTTCGATTTCATTTTGATATTTTCATCAGCAATTTAATTATGATTTCGGATCAGAGTTCTTGTCTTCTTGATGATATATCATGGCATGTTTAAAATTTAATTAATCCAGTAGACCAGTAATACCATGTAACCTAAATTGCATGACGATGTCATTTAAAAATAAAAAACCACATGTCGTTCATTTGCTATGTATTTAGTTTTCAATATGATAGACAGATTTTTTTTTTTGGGTATAACATATGGTATCTTCAGTTTATTTTAAGCTTGAGACTAATATTTGTAGAAAGCATCAAAGTTAAAATACTCCTGATTAATGTGCTTCTTAAAATTTGACCTTTTGTTCTCGTCCTTAGGGAGATGAGCCCAAGACATATGTGATTTTAATTATAGGGAGAATTAGAATAAAGGACCTGTAGAAAGAAATATTTATTAAAAAAGACCATAAAAATTAGAATTACTTAAAAGGACCAAAATTTAAAATATTGATTCTAAAATTCCAAATTATCTCTATCCCACCTCCATCTCTCTCCGTGATTTTTTAGTTGTTGCTTTCCTTCCCTACTATTTTATATTGTTGGGTATTGATTTTAAAATAGTGTGATTACATTTTTCCCACAACTTTTTCAAAAAGTTAGAACTTCCCTAAGCTATATATACACAACTTTTTTCTTATTCATACTCAGAATTTGTAATTATTGATAACATTATTATTTCAAGATCTTTAAGTTTTTTTGTCACAAACGATAACATTCAAAACTATTTGTTACTCATAGTCCTAAATCTAACATTTGA